CAGACAACTTCAAAGAGACTCGCAGACAGGAAGATAGAGAAGTTTGACAAGAACATTACAAAAAGAGGTTTTGTTCCTGAGACCACTACCAAGAAAGGCAAAGATTACCCTGTTGGACCTATCCTCCTCGGCTTCTTTGTCTTTGTTGTCATTGGATCATGTCAGTTTACCAATCATCCCTTTACTCAAAAGTTTTTGTTACCTTTTAGTTAAGGCTTTAATGGTCTTTGATGATGTGTGGAATATGAATCATTTGATTGTACCTGTACTACATGTGTATGTATATATTTATTAACCTCTTCTCTTTGCTTTGTTTCAGCTCTCTTCCAGATCATCAGGACCGCAACTAGCGGAGGCATGGCGTAAAACCCGAATCTCGCATTGGAGCTTAGAAGAAGAGCCATTTTCGAGATGAATCAATGGATCTTCTTCTGGCTTTTGTCTCTTTTTTTTTTTGTTCTCTCATTATAATGTAGTAGAGATTGTGTTAAACTTTCTGTTTCATACATGTGTTATCAAGAATTTTGCAAGTTTTATTTTAATATATATACATTTTCATAACCAACCAACGTTTAAAAATTATGCTTTTGTTACTGTCTTTGATAGTGGTGATAACATTAGTCATTGTTGTCTTACTACATATATATGTAAGAATCAACTTCTTGACATGTGTAACATGGTTTTTGGTTTTCCTGAATTCAGTATCTTTCAACAATAAATTACATAGAATCACTAAGAAGCTTATAGTTGCATTAGTGCATATAAAAGTCATTGTTCTTGTAGGTATTTATTATGGTACTTCAATGTTTTAGCAATGAAGTGATACAATAAAAAGAAGAAACACAAACAAGAAGTAGTAATTTGGATTTGGACGGCTAATAGTTTTTTGCTCGTCTCATTTTCCATTTGCTTTACTATGGTATCAAATCAAATAGTTTAAAGCCTATGTATAAACACCTGAATCCTTAAACTCTCTTTGGTTTCTTCATTCCTCAGAATTTGCAGGAAGAACCAAATCTTGGCTTTGGTCCTTTGCTTGTTGAGCCTTCAAGTGCTTCTGGCAAAAGCATCTCGAAACTATGCAAGAACATCTCCCATTCATCTTCACTCATGTCTCCGAAGTAAACACCTTCTGTTTCATCATGATTCACGCAAATCGGATGGCTCTTGCTCCTCACGATACTCCTATCTTTCTTGTCTTCGTCTCTGTTTGCATCATTGTTTGTAACAATCCATTGGTTCGGTGAACATAGCATGAGAGCATATAGATTGGCAGCAATGGATGGTGTTCTTCGAAACAATGGTGGTTTAGACACCTGCTCTTTGCATTCTGTATCTTCGAATTCATCGTCAAACTGAAAAATCCCACACTCGAGCTCCGCTTCTACTTCATTCCATTCGCTACTATAATCGTCATCATCGTCTTCTTCTTCGTCAATTCCACCAACCACGCTTGCTTTTGCTTTGGTGCAGAGAATCTCCAACAGACTACAACTCTCTTCCCCTCTGCAAATGTCTCGAGTCATCTTCTCGCCTATCTCTGCAAGACAGAGCCCTGAAGCAGCTGCTTGTTTCAAGAATATCGTGCAGACGATGAGAACTCGTATGGAAGATTCTTGGATAGAGCATAGCTCGGTTCTCAAAAGCTCTGCATCTTTGACATGGTCAAGATTTGATATATACTGAAGCTCAGTGTCGGTAAATGGAACCGAAGCTTGAGGCCAGTTAAGCCATTCAAAATAAGGATCATCAAGGCATTCAGGTAGGCAAAGACCATGGTCTATAGGCACAAGCTCCGCAGCTCCAACTCCGTTGTCTTGGTCATGTATCTTCTTAACTAACATGTTACCTGCGTGTCTGTCGAGGTTCAATAGTCTCACATCAAGTATCCCAATCCGATGGACCGATCCAACCGTGAAGCTCCCTGGTCCTAACTCTCCTGCATCAAAATCATGACCCACAAATCGTTGCAAAGAAGCAACTTTATAAGCGGAGTCACCATCACTGACATGGAAAGGAACATGTGAGATTCTGACCAATGCGGTTGGTGGAACGCTAGAGAAGCCTTGATGGTCTAAGAGGTAAGCAGCCAATTCGCGGATTCCGGATTCACCAACACGAATAGACCGTTTCATCCCCGGTTGTCCGAGCATTAAACCGCCTGTTCCTTTAGGATTGTTGAAAGCTAAAGGCTCTTCATCAACTGGCTTTGCGACCGCAATGCTTTGGCCTTTACCGGATTGTAAAAGATAAGCACCTCCTAAGCCACTTGGTAGAAGCAAAGGTTGAGCTCCTGAAACCATAGCTATGGATACTTCAGCTACAAGGGCGCGTATAGTGGGAACGCTTAGACCACCGAGAATCTCAATGCGAGGAGGAGCATCAGCGGATTTGATTAAATTGTCATCTATAGAGAAGCATGGAGTGGAAACGCTTCGATGGTTCAAGGAGTGTGAAGCATTGAGATTGGTGTTATTGAAATCGAGAAAGTTAAAGTCGAGGTTGGTAAGAGACTGGAGTCTGCATCTTTGTGAAGGTCGGCTAAAATGTGTGAACCGTTCGGTTATTGGATCAAGAGCCAATGCCATACAGTTCATGCCAAAACTTGTTGACAGTGTTTTCTCAGATTAAATTTGGCAAAAACTCTTCTTCGATGGATTCCTCAATCATTTAAAGATCCAATTCTACGAACCATCGCAAAAATCGTCTTCTTTGAATGGCTTTAATCCATAGTACCTGCAAAAATGTTCATGGATATAAGAAAGTGTTCTTGTAGCTGAAGTATCCATTAAGCTACAAGAAAATGTTCATGAATATTTAAGTCTATACAACGCGAATGAGCGACCTTTATAATCCCTCGCTCCTCCAATTGTAAATCGCCACAAGTTTCTGCAAATTCAAAACAGAGTTCTTAAACATTTGTAATAATAACACAATCAGGAAAACCCTAAGAATCAAGAACGATTGCTTGAAGAACAAGTCATCATCAATTCTTGAAAAAATCTTCGAAAATTCGAGCTACTTGGATATAGAAAGAAGAAGAATGAAACGTACCCTGAATACTGGTGAAGGCATTCAGGGAAATAACGAAGAAAGATTGAACAGAAAAGGGGAGAAACCGACACTGTCACCGGCAAGAAAAAAACAAAATTCTGGGACTCCCCTTCCCAGACTTCTTCTTTCTTTCTCGTAATTTTTTTTTTTTCAAATTTAGGTTTTTTTCATTTTCTTTCATTCTCTTTCTTCCAAGTTTATTAGGTGCTATAAATGTTTGTTTTCTTATTATCTACGTTTCTGATTTTCCCGCTTTTGTAGG